TATTTAACTGTCTCATGTCATAAAGTAATCGCCAAGTCGAGCATAAACAAAAACAAAGGCGTGACCATATAATATAGTCCTTTAATCGGAACTTAATATACGAAATATAAATAAGTATTTTTCCAAAAAATACTCAACTTGAACCTTTAGTTTAAGAACTGATGCTAGTCAAAGTTCAAAATTTTATCACTCACTAACTCTCACTGGTCATCAAAGTTGTAAGGTACCTTACAATTTTGTTGTCTATCTACTTCTAGCCAACACAAGCTTGAAATGTATACAATTAGTGTTCAGCGTAGAAAGCAAGAGATAGTTAGACAATTTGTAATATCAGTAAAGATTTCTGGCAATTCACAAAATTTCTTTGGAATCTTGTGTAATAGTTATGGGATTACAAAGTTACTTTTGCAGTCCGTCGTTCGATTTACTACAACAATGAATCGATGGAGGTGGGCTATCGGATTTAAGTAGTTTAGTACAGTATGAACAGTGCCGACATGGCCTCAATTCTGCTATTTCATGTTAACGCACAAGCCACTGTCATTCCGTTGGCACGCTTTTGAGATGCCATTGAGACTTCTGGGTCCTATGCCCGGGTTGGGCCAATGTTTGTATGGTCTGCAAATAATTCTTTCCGCGTTTGGGTGTTTTCGATGTATAATATGTATGTATTTAAAAAAAAAAGTATATCAATCAAGCTTTCATAATTCAAGCTTGAAACTAGAAACTAGATGGCGTTGTGTGTTAGATGGCCGAAAAATTATTATTATTATTATCTCACAACTTTTTGCGGTACACATAGGATTTGATACTTACTCACGTAGATTAACGTACAAAACATATAAAAGTTCTTGATGTAAATCTATGTAAGTATCATATCAAACCCTGTATATATTGCATATTGTAGTGGACCCACGTGAGCCTTTCTCTCGCAACTCAATAGCGGGATTCATGATCGTCGTCGCCTCGTTCCCACACCATCTCACCTATATAAGGTACGTAGGTAGCTACATAGTTGTTTGGTAGGTAGTCGGCGTGTGGTTGCCAGTACTAGTCCCTCTATTTACGGTGCAGCGTTGCTGGCAGCCTGCACACATTGTGTAGACGTATACCAACAAGAGAGATTTTGTGTTTATTTGCGTCGGGATTTGGGCCAAGTGCAGTCGGTCAATTTAAGCCGTTCTCGTTCATTCGTGTCATGCGTAGACACGTACCGCGTTGACGTTTACCAATCACTCAAACAGCTGTTCATTGTTTTATAAGATTACTCGTATTACTAGACGTCTATTACTGACACTCGTATCTAGTCACCGACAACATTGATAATTGAAATAAACAATTGTCTGCTCGTCTGCCTCTGTAACATAAAAAAAACACCTGACACCTGCAACCAAAATGTTCTGACATGTTAAATCAGTCCTCAATTGACTACCACTGGACACGTGTTTAAACCATGACAGCTTCAAAGAAACGGGGCATGACCTTATTCGAGCTCATCGAATTGTTTACTGTTTTTTTTTCAAAAGGCAGTTATTTAGAGGCTTCGATGGTAATGCTTACAAGATTTTTCAATAACAAGGCAAACATCAATGTTAAGTAGGTAAATATATCATTTATATGTAGGAAAATAGACTAGGTATACAAAGCGAAATAGGCATCATAACTTTCACTGACTTTCAGGCATGTAAGATAAGGCAGTCTTAACTCTAATATTTATAAATGAGTTTTTATTGGTTCAGTATCAGTTATTATCATTTAACCTCTTAATAACTTAACAAATCATAACGAAATTTTGCATACACGTGAAAGACAGAGTAGTGCATAGGGGTAGCTTTCATCTAGCACAGCTCCCGAGGTAGTGGAAAAAAACTAGGATGAGCGCAGCCGCGGACACTACCTATGTAGTTTTTTAATACATAATTTATTATTTAAAAAGCGAATATAGGTACCTACGTATGTATATGGGTTACTTCGGTATGTATGTAGGTAATGTGAATTTTGGTACTTCAAAAATTATCTATAAAAATGAATAACAATCCTTGAGCGACCTTTACAAAGCAAGTAAGTTATTGCGCAAATTATCTGATGTTTTAGCCTGAATTGTAAACAGAAGCTAACTTCTGAAATGTCGTACAGCTCTGCCTGTGGATAATGGATAATGTCAATTCACGTTTAATTTACTAGTTAATATAACTAAAAGCACTGTACAGAAACAGCATCTAGATAGAGCCGCCCAGCACGTCCCGTCAGCTTCCAACAATAATAATTAATTGACTCGTCCGTTCGTTATCGTGCTTTTATATTGACGTTCCCGAGTGAGCAAGCGAGCGAGGCGCATTCGGAATAAAATTTCCATAAAAACTTTTGTGCTCCGGCGGACGTTGCGAGCGCACGTTAAAATCGTCGGCTGGCAATAAAACAGCGGCCGGCGCGGCGAGGCGCGACGAAGCAAGCAACGGGTGCGAGAGGGACAGCCTTAGAGATAATGGACTCTGTACGAAATGAAGAACGCGCCTGGTGCGCCGAGCGAGCGAGCTGGAGCACGGCAAAAACATCGCCGCAGTTATCGCGCTCCGCTTCCCTCCACCCCGCGCCCCGCCCCATGAGCCGGACTCGTCTGATCGACGCCGGAGCCTCTCGCAGGCGAGCTAACCTCGACAGCGGGGGGTCGTGAGTTGCCTCGACGAGCCCGTTCGAACGTTGTAAACGTGTTGAACCGAACACCGTCACTCTCTCTGTAATACGCTCCAAGACTCAAGTTTTATCTTTAAAATGCTTCATATTTATGTTCACGTTTGACAGTTTATTCTCTCTTTGGCTCTAATCGCGCTTACCGTTGTTGTTGTAAATAGAAAAGGACTTCCGATTGATTTATGAAAGGCGAACATCGACTGCTTTGAAACGGTACGTACTATCATATGATTGTCATCTGTGTATAGGGTTAATAAAGTCAGTTGAGCTTTTATGGTTCGTTTGTACTTGCATTATGATGCATAACTCGTTGTGTGCATTGTACTTTAACGACGGTTGCATTACGTTATGTAACTGGCTTAGTTACCGTATGCACAAGATCTGCTGCAACTTTAGTAAAAGCCCGAACCAGTTTGTTTTTATTTTGGTATTCGTTGTGAAGCGTATTGTTTCCTGAGATTCCGAACGTTGTTTTATTGCACGATTACCGCAAGTGGCCGTGCTCTATTGCCTCTGTGTGCTATTGTTGTTTCTAACCGTTGTGGTTGCAGTGTCAAGGCATCTCATCTCACAACAGGAATGCAAGGATCATGTAATGAATATTACTTTTGCAATGTCATTTAATAATTTATTGTTACTACACTCGTTTGTTAACCTACTATTGTTTCAATGTATTTCATTGTTCAGAAGATTAATACTTTAGTTTTCAATTTGATGTTTTCCTTTCAGATATCTAATACTTGGAAGTCACATAACACACTTACTTCCTCAAAAGATGTTAATTGATTGTGTTGCCTGGTAAACTAAATTTATAGACTGAGAATGTTGTTACTTTTATCTTTTTCTAGTCACCAAGTCTAAATAAATACATATTAAATTTTGAGTGCCTCTTGTTGTGTTGTTAAGGTTATCTTAATATGTAACGTCGATGAACTTTTTCATTACACAAAATGCTTCCAACATACAAAATGCTTAGAAAAAGAAGGACTCAATAAGGAGAATTACAAGAAATCTAATGTTTTATGTAATACTAAATATTTTGGTAATATTCTATTTAACTAACTAAGCTTTATGTGTAATGTAACTACTCTGTTAGCCAGCATCGCTGTTCGATCCAAAGTGACAATGAACAATGTAAAATCACTTATGGCTTAGTGTTAATTTCAGCAATTGAAAAGTGGATAAAAAAATCCGACGAAATGAGAACCTCCTCCTTTTTTTAAGTCGGTTAATAAAAAAATATTACAATGAGATAAATCGGTTTAAATTTGCTAACGTGATTATATCTGTCCATTTGACTGTTTGGTTAACTTGGGAAATTATTAAATTTTATATAATATATTAAAAAAAATTGTTAAATTTATAGCAACAACAAAAAGGACTGACTATCACTACCACTAATACTACTTTCATGTTTACTTTCTGTATGTTTACACACATCTATACTCTACACAAATAAATAAAATTAGAGTGTCTCTTTGTAATATTAAAATAACCGCTTTTTACTAAATGCATATGTATGTTTACACGGTACTTATGCCAAAATAACATTTTTTACAATTTTTGTCTGTCTGTCTGTCTGTATTTTCCGGGTGATCTCTGGAACGGCTGGACCGATTTTAACGGGACTTTCACTGGCAGACAGCTGATGACATAAGGAGTAACTTAGGCTACTTTTTTTAGACTAGCTTCGCCCCGCGTCGTTGCCCGCGGTTATAACAACAAACGCGGGTAACACCGCGGGTCTCAGCTAGTAGAATATAAAATAAAAGTGTGTGTGTGCAATTCACACACGGCAGAAGTGAAACATCCGAAAAAATAAATTATCTCCGAAAAACCCTATAAAATTTTGCCCGGCCCTGGAATCGAACCCACTAAGGCAGCGTTTTATTCATACTGCCAAAATATTATATTTAAAAAATGTGTAATGTATTCTATCTCATTCTCTCGCCGACTTAATGCTAACCATTTATGTGTTTTTCTCTTTATCATGACTCATTTTTGTTTCTTCGATTTTCAAATCACTACGATTCTAAAGAAGTTTCATTTCAAAAATTATAAAATTGCCCCGTGAAATACGACAATATAAGAGTGTGCATTAAAATTATCAATCTTTGTTCGCATAACTTTTCACCGTATTAAGTCCACGATTGTCCACCATAAGTAAAATTACAATGTGTACTACTAGCTTATTGTATGAGGAACGAATTTTTTTTAACACATTATTTCTAAACATGGAAACTCGTTTTCTCGAGATAGCACTTTTAGACTTATAATAATTATATTGAATATTTTTGTTATTGTTTCAGGATCTGACCGGTCAGAACAGCAATGACTCTGGCGGTAGCGGCGGCGCGGGGCGCGCTACCACACCGCACCTGAGACCGACGCCAAGCCCAACCGGCTCAAGCGGCTCTCGCTCCATGTCACCGGCTGTTGGTGAGTAAACAACCTTCTCGATCATAACTATTCCTTAATATAATTGTTCACAAGTACTTAAAAATACCCACCTAGCTTCTAGTTCACTATGTACGTAAGTTCATGTAGAATCTTCTTCATTTAGATATTCTTCTGCCTGAAATGATCGAATTCGATATGTGCAGAGAAAGACCGCGCATTGGGGCTTTGGAGTATTACCCCAACCGATAAGCTGACTGCTTACCAGGGCCTCAATTCTGCTATGTTATGTTAACGCCAAGCCACTGTCATTCTATTGACACACTATTGAGATGCCATTGAGACGCCATTGACATCGGTCACAATATCGGTATTCTACTAACATAAATTCACAGTGTCAATAGATTGTCGATGTAGTAATATAGGTAATCAATGGTTATATCAACAACATTTCCATATCTGGAAAATTAAATATATCATTTATGTATCAGTGACAAGTCATCGGGAGGCCATTGGTCATGGGTAGTTAGTAGCATAAGAAAAGTGCAAAACTATTCCGACGACAGTCTATTGATACAATATTAGATTAGCATATTTGAGGCCCAGTTTGGTACCTTGTAATATTTTGTTTATCAAAATTGATAGAGGTTGATTCCCACTAAACAATCTATATTTCTCCAAAATGAGGACGGAGAAGAATTTAACAATCTATTGAGTGTCTGTGATTTATTTTCTTCCCTAAATTGTATAGGTTGAGTACCCAAGCAACTTAGTAAGAGTTATATTCCGAAAACAAAAACAATATTCAGAATATCTCTAATACCTGGTACTTACTAATTGCTTAAATATTACTACTAGTCAAAGATCAGCCATAGATCACCCAGCCACCAAATGTCCCATAAGGGAGAAGATAGGGTTAACGTCTACTGTAAATCACTAATTATTAGAAATGTTTATACGATCATTTAATATCGTTTGGTCTGTGTGACTTCCTTACCAATGTATTTATTTAAAAAATGGTTATAACTTATGGTGTGGCTTCTGAGCGTTTGTCATTGTATAGTATACTTAGCCAGCACTTATTGTATTTACTACTACTAAAAACTGAATTGAGACATGTTTACATTATTGAGTATACAGACTGTCATATGTTAAACAGCATAATGTTATCAATTTGTTAGTATTAGAAACAAAGTCGATTCCTATTACTTATGACAGTATACGCAAATACAGATGATTGCTTGCAAGGTTGACACTGGCACTGGCAAGGCATTTCATCGCTCATACGTTTAAATTTGAACTTTTTTACTATCTAGTAGGATCTTTTGTTTTGTCACGGGTGTGTTGATCAGATTCGTTGTGCATACTCCGTCACCGGTAGACACGGGCTTTCCCGACATTGACCCACATAGAGCGGGCGCCCAGAGTACGCCGTATTTTGCCCCTTTTGCGGGCGCGAACCACCCCAGCCCACCCACCTTATGTACGAGTCGGGGTGGTCGCGGTATATAGGGCCTCGTGAAAAACTTACCCCCACCGGTTGGGACGAGCACGCAAAACAGGACCTTCCACCCCAAAGGTTGACGAGGCGATCCTATGTGCCCGATGTCCAACGATTACTATTAACAATCTTACTTGCGTAACAATACGCCTTATAAAGAACCATCTTCCATTGTCATTTGGCACAGTTGTTTTCATCTAGCTTGCCTCAAATTATGAATGCGCTGTGTCAAATCGATCGGATGATACCAACTTTTATATATCGAGTACTAGACGATCGAGTTCTATGAATTGAATGAGAATCACGTTTCACTAAAACGTTGGCGTTCAATTCAATTTACATGTACCTAGTTCAAAATGAAGCGATTCTAAGAATCACCCTATAGGGCTTCCCCCGAGTGACCTTGATGGGCTCACCCACCGGGAACGCCTCATCTTATATACTTTCCCACTGTCACGATTTTCTTTGATGTCGGTACGTGTATACAGGTTCATATTATATAGTCACCTTGCCCTTCTAATTTCGAGCAATACTATTCCATTCATGAAAATGTTGAATAATCATGAATTTTGATACCTAATCCAGCAGTTGCCAATCTGTAGACATATTTTATTATATTAATCTGAAGTAAGTCTCATATTGACGTATGAGACTTCATCAACAACCTATACTAGTCCACTGCTGGACATAGGCCTCTCCTTAGAAAGGAGACTTACTTCAGATTAATTCCCCTTCTACATGTACAAGACTCGGAAATTAGATCTGGATAAAATTGAAAAATATTTTCGATATTAGAAACAAAAGATCACATTAGAAACTTGCCTTGTAATCTTTAACATCTAAGATGGGCTTTTCACCGATAGAGCAATTCGCTTATGTAGTCAGGTCCAAGGGTTACGGGTTTCAGTAACTGAAATTTCATTCTAGGTTTAAAACCATTAAAATTAATAGAATCACAGGGCATCGCATTGGATAAAAGTTTTGATTTTCTTTTTTGTCGCAAATCTCTTACTCAGCTTAAACAAATTTAACAGTAAATTACATTTACTGAAAGAATATGATAAGCATACTTAACACCTATACTTAAGTTGCTTTATGTACATTCCACTTGTCGACATACGCATTTCATTGGGAGTAAAACAAGCCATATTTCAAATTAATGTTAAAATGCCCATGAGATTTGTCCACTTATTTTAAGTAGGTACACTCGGAATGCAAATTGCGTTGTAAATGTATTCAGGCATGTTCAATAACTTACGATAGAGATGGTGACCACTCAAATCCATTAAATTTCGGTTGTTTCATTTCACGCCGAATTTTTCAAAATTAGTACGTTTTAAGTCCTACATTATGAAAATGATTATGAATATAATTGTCTTTTTTTTATATTTTTTTTTATGGACTTATGGTTTGTTTAGAGCCGTACCAGTTGGTCGGCAATAGAGCCGTACCTGTTGGTCGGAAATCAGAGCAAAAATATCTAGGCAAGGAAAATACTGCAATTTCAAGATTTTGTTTATACCTTATCAATTAATTTTCTATTTCTTGAGTCACCTCTCAGTATCACAAGGATGTGTCTACGGTTGATGTCCTCAAATACCAATATTTGCTTTAATTTCTCTAGTTTTAGTGCAAATCTGACAGATTACCACGGTATAAATGGTTTGATTTAAACTGTTTACTCGCTCACCGTTTTCGGAATACTAATTGGATAATCTGTCGTAAACCTGAAGCTGGGTCAAGTATCTTTTCTTTTGAACAGTTACCTCAGTTAGTCCCTCCCGGTTGACTGCTGTATTTAAAATCCGAAAATAAACACTGCTCGTATGAAGGTGCTATAAAAACCAATTTGGTATTTAGCCTAACGAAAGGCAACCGCAAAAGCAATCGTGTTTTGTTAACGCCGCCGATTGCCGAACGTGGCTTTCTCAAAACATCAGACCGGAGACCGGCCAAGCGGCGACTGCCGCGCCACTCGAATACCGGTTATATGACCGCAATACACCCTCACAATGTGCCTTCAGCGGTGCGAGCGATCGTACCAAGTTCTAAGTCCAATGCTTGCCCGAACACCTCAGTAAAATCGACGGCCCCGACTTGTAGAGCAATGTATTCCGCGTCCGCTAGTAAATTGTCACGAGCTGGTGGAGTAGTGGAAGTTTAACATGACTGTATGACGTCAACTGTTCGGCTCGTCCGACTTCTTGACTCTCGACAAACACTTGAGTGAATATGTGAAGTCTCGCTCTAGAAAATTATAGGCGAAGCGTTTGAGGAAAAATACTCTGCGTTATGTATTGTGTACTAATACACCAACGATTACTAATTCCTTTATTTTTGATTTAAAATTATAAAATAAAACTATTTGTACCAAATAGTGGTTGAAAATTGTCAAGTGAATAAAAATAAGTTGTTGTTGTTATCTAGGTGGTTTATGTACAGGAAAATACTTCATCTTTAAATGTGTCAAAAATAATAAATAAATATTGTAATCTTCTTTATATATCTGTGAATAAAAAAAAAATTCTATTTATCGACCGCATTGTGCTCATTTCCAATCCAAGTTCCATCGTTATTTTAACACAATGTAGCCGCAATACCGCAACCCGAGGCGTTCGAAGGTGAATTGCGTATTGTTTGACGCCCGCATACAACGTGACTTTCGAAAACGACTTTAATTTTCGACCAATAAGGTTTCTTTTGCGCGATGTGTAGCTATCGTAGCTATAACGCTGTCATGGAATATTCGACCGTGTGTAGTACTAGCTTTTGAGCGATAATTCCCTGGCTTGAATTATTGGTTATTCAGTATACGGGCGCTAAAAGCGTTTCGCAGTCGTCCGTCGTGCGTATCTGCCGCCGAGCAGTGGAATGCCATCAACTAAGATAAGGCTGACTCTTGGGACTTATTCGAACGCTGCCCCTCGCCGTTTCTTGACATTTAGAACCTATATTAATTTATACTCAGCTTGATATTCAGCGATGCAACTTAAACACTTTTTATATACACGATTTGTCTACATCTTGTTGCTTGAATGAATAATTTTGTTATGTAACTGTGTCGTGCTAAAGTAAAATATAATATTTATAAGCAAAACCAGCAAGAAGTAACGTGATATTTTGATTTCAGTCAATTCCTATTGTTTGCTTACAGATCAATAATGGGAAAATCAAATCATAAAGTCTACTTGTACCTTAATATCAACTGCTTGCATAATGCATTCACATTTTATTACTTCATATTATTAAATTGTCCACTTAAAAGCGGTAAACTTAACAAAGTTAGCAGTCGATGTCGTTAGTGTGCGATTGCGCTACGCTCACATGTGCATGGTAATTCTGGGGAGTTCTTTATAAATGTTTATCGCTTTACACAAATTCCTCTATGTGCGACCACGTGCCTTCGCGTCCTTGGCAAGGCCAACGACCTCTTCATTAAAAAAAAAGTAAAAATCACTTTTTGCCCCGATCCCGCAATAATGTTTGTTTTGATCGTTTTTACGTAAACGATCCTTTCGTGGTTTGTTTTTTTTTGTGCGGG